AGCTGCAGTAGTTTTGAGGTGGTCAGTCCTTCAAAAGATTCCTTGATTCAGGAGAACTGCAGTTAGATAAGATAAGATAAGATAAGATTTCGTTCGGATTTTTAACCCCGGAGGGTTAGCCACCCAGGATAACCCAAGAAAGTCAGTGCGTCATCGAGGACTGTCTAACTTATTTCCATTGGGGTCCTTAATCTTGTCCCCCAGGATGCGACCCACACCAGTCGACTAACACCCAGGTACCTATTTGCTGCTAGGTGAACAGGACAATAGGTGTAAGGAAACGTGTCGGAATTTCCACCCGCCGGGAATCGAACCCGGGCCCTCCGTGTGTGAAGCGGGAGTTTTAGCCACCAGACCACCTAAGATGAAAGTTGTATATTTTCAATAACTAAGGTGGAGATGCATGACTTTAGGGTATCTGGATCGCTGGACATACCAGTGAGACTACTTGGTAGGTTGAATCCGGGGAAGAGAGGGGTGGATGGGCTGTTGGCAGCCATGTTTGTTGTTATTAGAAGCTTTTACTGAGAATGTTTCGTTCTGTGTAGAGCTTTATCACGTCATGATCAGCTCTTACAGCTTTATCGTGTCGTTGCGCTGTGTAGAGCTTTGTCACGTTATGTTTCACGGGGTAGAGTTTATCAAAAATTTTTTTGCTGTGTAAAAGTTTTATAAAGTCATTTTTTCGCTCTCTGTGAGCTTTATCGATACACCAAGTACCTACCATATTATGGATGTTTCATAAGTAGTTGATGACGTAAACCAGTATGAAGGGTTGTTAGTGGTGGGTTTTGGGGCTGGTGGTTATGTCCGAGAGTTTGATAAGGGACACTCCAAGGTTTTAAACCTTTCATTTTGTAAAGAAACCCAAAACTTTCTGTTTCAGTTTGAATATTTTGTTGAAGAGTGCTGTGTTGGGTATAAAATCCCAGAGAGAGAGGGAGAGAGGGAGAGAGAGGAGAAGAGAGAGAGAAGAGAGAGAGAGAGAGAGGAGAGAAAAGAGAGAGAAAGGGAGGGAAATACATCCGACACAATCACGGGGAAAGAAAAAAAAAAGTCGCAGTCTTGAGATACAACACGGATGCGCAAATTTTAACGAAATTTAAATCAACTCCCTGTGGCGTTTTACTCAGGTCTCCGGGTTATACGTGGATCTCAGAGGACTTATCTGCTGGTAGTCAGTCTGAATATTTTATTAAGTTAGTACCTGGGTTTACCTGGAGAGAGTTCCGGGGTAACGCCCCGGGGCCCGGTCTGTGCCCAGGCCTCCTGGTGGATCAGAGCCTGATCTACCGGGCTGTTGCTGCTGGCTGCACGCAAACCAACGTACGACCCACACCCGGCGATCAGGAAGATTTTAGGTGTTTGTCCAGTCCCACTTGAAATGCCAGGGGTCTTTTTGGTAATCCCCTTATGTGTGCGGGAGGCGTTGAACGTCTCGGGCCCCTGACATTTATTGTGGGGCCAAAACTGCTTGACACCCCTCTTTTCATTGGGGGGATGGTGCATCGCTCCAATTCTTTTTGCTTTCGAGTGATGATTTTCGTGTGCAAGTTCGGTACAGTCCCTCAAATTTTTTCCCCGGGATATAATCATGTATTTTCCCTCCTGCTTTCCCAGGGAATCGGGTTTTAGGAACCTAAAGCGCTCCAGTAATTGAGGTGTTTTATCCCGTTATGCGCGCCGTGAAAGTTCTCTGTCATTTTCTGGGTCGGCAATTTCCCTGCCTTGAAAGGTTGCGTTAGTGTGAGAAATATTCCACCTAGATAGAAAAAAAGTGCCCTAAAGAGTGTCACATGGGCTTGGCCCCCCTAGTTTTAAAGGGTTTCATTATCCATCCTGTATTTTTCTAGCAGTGCATTGTTTAAAATTTTATGGCCCTTAAAGGTGAGATCCCCCGACATGTCACTCCAGGTCTTTGACTTTGGGTGTTTCGCTCTATTTTGTGGCCAGAATTTGTTTTGTACTCTGATGAAGATTTTTTCCTCATTTTCCCTTTCGAGTAATTGAAATTTCCATCGTTGAACTTATTTGTTTTCTGCAGCCCACTAAAAAAGTTTTGGTTGATGTCCGCCGGGAGCCTTGCAGTGTCTGAAAGGAAGACATGTATGCGATCGGGTGCTTCAAAAAAAGACACGGTTGTGGCTGACATCCTTGTCTATGTGGATATAGGAGGGGAAACAAGTGGGAGCGGTACTGTCCCTTGTGGAACAGACTTTTCCCCGTAGCTGCCTGGACTTTACTCTGTTGAGACTACTCTCTGGTTCTGTTAGTGGGAAATTATAGATCCATCGACCGATTTTTCCTTTTATTCCTTAGAAAGCTTTGTGCGTTTATTCGCCTGGCACCTTGTCGAAGGTTTTTTGCAAAGTCTGATATATTAATAGGAAATTTTCTAGGGCCCCTTTACCTGATGTACCTCAACATTATATCATCCAGAACTCATTGGGAGACATATATTGTACCGTAGTCACCCCGGGAACATGGAAAAAACTTAACCCCCCCGGGCGCACCAAGGGGTCCCCCGACCTCACAATTTTATCCATATCATCCGAGACTTTTATGGAGGGGTTTAGCACCCACAAGTGGTGTACAATTTAAAATGTGGACGTTAATTATAGTTTAGCTAAAATGAAGGGGGGGGGGGTGGTACCCGGGATACATCCATAAGGGGAAAAAAAATTTTTATACAATCCCCCACTTACCAATTTCTTGGTGGTCACTTGATGTTTTGGACCTATAACCTATTAAATTACAAAATAACACAACGGCCAGCATAAGTTTGTTATAATAAAGGGTTACTTAACTGTGGTGATTGATACCCTTATTTCTTCCATTCCCCATCTCAGTTTCGATGTCCTGCTACCCGAAAACGGTTCTCTTTCCCGGAGGACGGGGTATCCGTGGTTTTCCGGTTAAAGTCGTGATTCCTAAATTCCATTATCCCCGGTCGAGAGTCACACTTCCTCGGAGCAAGGCCTCTATTTCACACCCCGATCCAATCAAGTTTTTATCACTGATTACATTACCATTCACAAGACGATTTAAGTTCATAACTATTTAAAATTAGAGGTTACTCCATTAACATCTGAGGCCGATGAGCGAGATTACACACGGGTATGTCCCCTGGACACACCCTGGCCGTGCACCTGCCCCCCGGGTCTCTTCAAACATTTTTTAAAACCACCCCATTACCGTGGTCGTAAATCACGTTCCTCACTCTCCACCAGGAACAGTTACAAACCTTTTTATATGAATAGGCCATATTTATCCTTGGGCCCCCGGAATGTCAATTTCGTGGTTCCATGTTTCTCAGCTTCTTCACCTTTCCCAAAACAACCCGGGCTCTCTCCCCCCCGCACATCGCGCATGCGCAAAGGGAACTCTTGGTTCTCTCTTATTTTAAAAATACTTTTTTGACCCCTTATAGACCATTAAACACCTATTAGGCACTATAGTTTCGGAAATCAAAAAATTTTCCACATTACTTTGCATTCTTTTGTTTTTCTATTTCCCATTTAGGCCCTTGTCGTAGTGATCCAATATTTGAGACAGACAGGGCGACCTGTCAAAACCCAAGTGCCCTGGTTTGTGAAACTGGGGGGTTTTTCTAGATGGGTGGTGATCTTGCTTCTTAGGACCTTTCAAAGATTTTTGATATGGATGCTATTTGCTAGGTCTGTGGGTTTTTTGGGCTGTTGCTTTACTGCCCCCTTTGGTGGAGTGGGGCTAGTCTGTTGTTTTTAGTAACTGTGGGACGACCCCCGTGTCCATGCTCCCTCTCCATAGGATGGAAAAGGCTCGTGATAGGGGCTTCTTGCAGTTCTTGATGAACACAGAGTTCCATGAGTCTGGCCCTGGGGCAGAGTGCATGGGCATGTCATTTATCGCCTGTTCGAAGTCATTTGGCGTCAGGATAACATCGGATAGGCTTGTGTTAATCAAATTTTGTGGCTCTCTCATAAAAAATTCATTTTGATCTTCGACTCTCAGTCTGGTTAGCGGCTTGCTAAAAGTAGGGGTAACTTTTTCTCATATATCTCACACTTTGGGGAAGGACTTGATGACGTATTTATATTATGTTTCTAACTGTTGTAGTACTTACTACAGCCTCTTTTATTTCATCTACCACTGTCCGAAGAAGCATTTTTTAAGTATCCCCTTTTTCTTTATTTGCTAGTTAGTTAGTTTAATATGTTTATTATGCACCCCTTACCCATCCCGTGGCGTAGTCAAAGATTAAGAGGGATATATGGGCCAGGGACTGGCCTCAAAGTTTGTAGCTGAGCAAGTTACGAGGTAATGAATTCACAATTTAAAGGTTTAAAGGGAAATACAATTTACAAAGGTAATGAACTCCCGGTAGGTTAGTCACAATCATGACAAGTTACAAAAGGTATTTAAGATTACAGAGGTAACAATGGGTCCAGGGACGGGCTTTTCCCTTTTGCTGAACTAGGTACAGGAATGAACTACAAATTCAAAGGTTATTGCTATAGAGGCCTTTGTTATCTGGACGGATTTAAGCCTGTCTAAGTTTTCCCTTTCGTGTAGTTAATTGTGAAGTCTTCAAACTACGGTATTGTGACTTGTTCTTTCAGTAGGATAACACAAGTAGGTGCTCCACAGTGACAGAGAAGTGTTTAATGTGTAGTTTATTTGTGAACTGTTTCAGTCATGGTATTGTGACTTGTTCTCATAGGTAATTTACACTTGTTAAGTAAGTTCATTTAGGCACAAGTACAATTATCATACATAGTTTAAATTACCTAGGATAACCCAAAAAAGTCAGACAAAGTTATTGTGTATGATAATTGTACCTTTGTGTACCCGTACCTTACGTTCTCGTTAGAGACAGAAGTGGCGACTCATCTGGAAGCCAAAGAAGTGTATTTACTGCCTTCTCTATGAGCTTGACTAGATAAATAAATGGTGTGTGAATCAGCGGCTTTCTCCCATGCTTACCTGAAGTTATTAAGACTTGTTTATCTCTCCCACAGTGACCAGCAGCACCACCTAAACCACCACCATGTCCCTGGAGATCAAGGTGGTGAGCGCCTCCAGCCTTCAGAACCTGGAGACACTGGGCAAGAGTGACCCTTATGTTACCATCAACTTTCAAGGTAGGTACGAGAGGTTATTTAGGTAATGAACCCTCAGGAGTATGGAGAATTACCTGAGGGGGGTTCAGGGGTCAGCGCCCCCGCGGCCCAGTCTGTGACCAGGTCTCGCGTGACCAGCGCAGTAGTAGTAGTAGTAGGATACTCCCAGGTAAAACATATGTGGGTGAAAGGGAGATTTGGATAGTGGAAGAGAAGTGAGGGAGAGGAAGGATATGAGATTGAGGTATTTGAAGGTTGGATTATCTCCATAAGATGTTAGAATTCTGGACCATCTTCTGGAATCTTTTACCATCTGAGTAGTAATCATAATTTTTGAACCATCTGAAGTTAGAATTTTGGATCATCTCAGTTGCTAGAATTTTTGGGGGACTAAGAAGTTATAATCTTGGACCTTGTGAGAAGTTGCTAGAATTTCTGACCATCAGAGTACTAATTTGAAGTACGTGAACCATGTGAACAGTGACAGTAGTTGTGGGTTAAGTTAGTTATCCTCTCTCAACCATTGGTGCGTTATTATATATGGCCAGAACTTAAGACACGTTAATCTGTGAAGAGTCGAGTAGGTAAAACATCACTCCTTAATGTTTATTACAGTGTTCTAAACATGTCTTGTGGAACCAACAGTTAATTAACGTATGGCTAAAAGCCTAAAACTATTGTGTATGTAGCAGCTATTGTGTAAATGTTAGTTAATGGGGTTTAAAGCCTATCGACTACATTAGATTCGTAGCCTATTCACCACCAAACTTCAGACAAGAATACTTTTATCACTAAAATTAGGAATAAAGGAAACTCTTAGCATATATACGCTAAGAGAAATACACTTCTCAGTGTATATATCCCGTGTGTATAGCTGTATATTAATCTGTAAAACCATATATAGAGATAATTACGAGAAAAGACTTTATACGGATTATTATAAAAGTACCCCTGTAGGGTTATCTTGGGTAGTTAGTTAGTTAGTTTAATATGTTTATTATGCACCCCATACCCATCCTGTGGGCGGTAGTCAAAAGATTACAGAGGTACATAATTGGTCCAGGGACTGGACTCCAAAGTTTTGATAGCTGAGCAAGTTACAGAGGTAATGAACTCACAATTTACAAAGGTAATGAACTCACAATTTACAAAGGTAATGAACTCACAATTTACAAAGGTAATGAACTCCAGGTAGGTCTGGTCACAATCATGACAAGTTACAAAGGTATTTACAGATTACATAAAAAAAAAAGCCAAGCACTGTGGATTATTATGCCCATAATGCTCTGCAAGCAAAGGGCTTTTGGAATGTACACCCAATCACTATATTTCTTTGTACAACTATGTATCATTTCCAAATAAAATAAAATAAATAAATAAATAAATTAATTAACGTTGGCTTATCAGTTATCTTAAGCCATGGTGCTTATCCATGGAATGTGTCGAAACTATGAAGCCAGGTGTTCCTCTGGGTGTGCATGTAAATCTTGCTTGACATGAGTGAAAAATCAAGGAGAGCCCACTGTTGACCCCTTGACTGTTGACCCCTTGACTGTTGGCCCCTTGAGAGTTGACCCCTTGACTGTTGACCCCTTGACTGTTGACCCCTTGAGGGTTGACCCCTTGACTGTTGATCCCTTAACTGTTGACCCCTTGAGAGTTGACCCCTTGGCTGTTGGCCCCTTGAGGGTTGACCCCTTGACTGTTGGCCCCTTGAGGGTTGACCCCTTGACTGTTGATCCCTTGACTGTAGACCCCTTGAGAGTTGGCCCCTTGGCTGTTGACCCCTTGAGGGTTGACCCCTTGGCTGTTGACCCCTTGAGGGTTGATCCCTTGACTGTTGACCTCTTAAGGGTTGACCCCTTGAGGGATGACCCTTTGACTGTTAACCCCTTGAGAGTTGACCCCTTGACTGTTGACCCCTTGAGGGTTGACCCCTTGACTGTTGACACCTTGACTGTTGACCCCTTGACTGTTGACCCCTTGAGGGTAGACCCCTTGACTGTTGGCCCCTTGAGGGTTGACCCCTTGACTGTTGACCTCTTGACTGTTAACCCCTACGATGCTTATCTAGGAAGGTTAGCTAATGACCCTCATGTAGTAGACAAGTCTTTCAATCCCATTTAGCAATTCGGTTACTTATAATTCACAACTGAAATTTGACAGCGATATATTTAAACAAGTGATGCATAGTTAGTGGTGAAAGTGAAGTACTGAAGTAATTGATTTTCTGTTGTTACAGGAGAGAAGAAGAAAACTGAGGTACAAGATGGTACACTTGACCCGGTGTGGGAGGAGACATTAAAATGGGAACTGGGTACCAAGCCTCCCAGAGCAGACGAGTGTATTGATATTACTGTCAAGGACTATGAGAGAATAGGAAAAAATAGGTAACATTTGTCATGTGTGACTTGTTCAACTGCCCTTTTTAATCTGTGTGTGTGCGAAGTAATTTATAGAAAATATGTTTTGATGCGATTCACTTCTGAGACACTTATTTGTTTTAGCTTTTAAGGTTTAAATAATAAAATATTACAAGGACCCCAATGGTAATAAGTCACTTTGTTTGACTTTTTGGGGGGTTACCCTAGGTAATTTATACACGTTACTATGTATGATAATTTATGTAGGTGTATTTATGTGTACCAGTACCTGATTGAACTTGTTTATGTATGATAATTTGTGAACTGTATTTGTGTGTACCTGTACCTAAATAAACTTGCGTACTTATTTACTCCATCATTCCTAGTAAGTTTATTTAGGTACACAGAAATACAGTTGCCATACATTGTGTAAATTACCCAGGATAACCCCAAAAAGCCAGATAAAGTGACTTATTTCCACTGGGGTGTATGTTTGTTGCTAATTATCATGACTAGATTCATGGGAAGATGCGCTAAACCCGTAGGGGTCATATAGCACCTGGTGGAAAGCAAGGCATTCAGGTTTGGTCCAAGGAAGGGGAGCACAGATCTAGTTCCCTTCATCAAGAGCCCCTTGGTGGCATCAAGGAGCCTGCTTTGAGGGGGATGTGTGTGCCTTCCCTTCAAGAAGTAGGGTTCCTTGATACTAACAAAAACAGTTCTTGATTCAAGGAATTGCAGTTAATCTCCTCTTTTTTTGGATCAAACCTAAGTACCCCATTCCCCAGATGTTGTATGATGCTTACAGGTTTAGCGCTCCCCCTTCCATCATATATACTCTTCAGTGGAACTACCTTGATACTGGTGAAGGGCTCTTGATCGGAGAATAGACCTGACCTCCCAACCCCTCCTAATTGTTTCCCATTACACCAGGCCTTATAAGACCCATACAGGTTTTGAGCCTCTCATACCTGGAGAGAGTTCCGGGGGTCAACGCCCCCGCGGCCCGGTCTGTGACCAGGCCTCCTGGTGGATCAGAGCCTGATCAACCAGGCTGTTGCTGCTGGCTGCACGCAAACCAACGTACGAGCCACAGCCCAGCTGATCCGGAACTGACTTTAGGTGCTTGTCCAGTGCCAGCTTGAAGACTGCCAGGGGTCTGTTGGTAATCCCCCTTATGTGTGCTGGGAGGCAGTTGAACAGTCTCGGGCCCCTGACACTTATTGTATGGTCTCTTAACGTGCTAGTGACACCCTGCTTTTCATTGGGGGGATGGTGCATCGTCTGCCAAGTCTTTTGCTTTCGTAGTGAGTGATTTTCGTGTGCAAGTTCGGTACTAGTCCCTCTAGGATTTTCCAGGTGTATATAATCATGTATCTCTCCCTCCTGCGTTCCAGGGAATACAGGTTTAGGAACCTCAAGCGCTCCCAATAATTGAGGTGTTTTATCTCCGTTATGCGCGCCGTGAAAGTTCTCTGTACATTTTCTAGGTCGGCAATTTCACCTGCCTTGAAAGGTGCTGTTAGTGTGCAGCAATATTCCAGCCTAGATAGAACAAGTGACCTGAAGAGTGTCATCATGGGCTTGGCCTCCCTAGTTTTGAAGGTTCTCATTATCCATCCTGTCATTTTTCTAGCAGATGCGATTGATACAATGTTATGGTCCTTGAAGGTGAGATCCTCCGACATGATCACTCCCAGGTCTTTGACGTTGGTGTTTCGCTCTATTTTGTGGCCAGAATTTGTTTTGTACTCTGATGAAGATTTAATTCTCATGTTTTACCATATCTGAGTAATTGAAATTTCTCATCGTTGAACTTCATATTGTTTTCTGCAGCCCACCGAAAGATTTGGTTGATGTCCGCCTGGAGCTTTGCAGTGTCTGCAATGGAAGACACTGTCATGCAGATTCGGGTGTCATCTGCAAAGGAAGACACGGTGCTGTGGCTGACACCCTTTTCTATGTCGGATATGAGGATGAGGAACAAGATGGGAGCGAGTACTGTGCCTTGTGGAACAGAGCTTTTCACCGTAGCTGCCTCGGACTTTACTCTGTTGACGACTACTCTCTGTGTTCTGTTAGTGAGGAAATTATAGATCCATCGACCGACTTTTCCTGTTTTTCCTTTAGCACGCATTTTGTGCGCTATTACGCCATGGTCACACTTGTCGAAGGCTTTTGCAAAGTCTGTATATATTACATCTGCATTCTTTTTGTCTTCTAGTGCATCTAGGACCTTGTCGTAGTGATCCAATAGTTGAGACAGACAGGAGCGACCTGTTCTAAACCCATGTTGCCCTGGGTTGTGTAACTGATGGGTTTCTAGATGGGTGGTGATCTTGCTTCTTAGGACCCTTTCAAAGATTTCTATGATATGGGATGTTAGTGCTATCGGTCTCATGGAACTCTGTGTTCATCAAGAACTGCAAGAAGCCCCTATCACGAGCCTTTTCCATCCTATGGAGAGGGAGCATGGACAGGGGGGTCGTCCCACAGTTACTAAAAACAACAGACATAGCCCCACTCCACAAAAGGGGCAGTAAAGCAACAGCAAAGAACTACAGACCAATAGCACTAACATCCCATATCATAAAAATCTTTGAAAGGGTCCTAAGAAGCAAGATCACCACCCATCTAGAAACCCATCAGTTACACAACCCAGGGCAACATGGGTTTAGAACAGGTCGCTCCTGTCTGTCTCAACTATTGGATCACTACGACAAGGTCCTAAATGCACTAGAAGACAAAAAGAATGCAGATGTAATATATACAGACTTTGCAAAAGCCTTCGACAAGTGTGACCATGGCGTAATAGCGCACAAAATGCGTGCTAAAGGAAAAACAGGAAAAGTCGGTCGATGGATCTATAATTTCCTCACTAACAGAACACAGAGAGTAGTAGTCAATAGAGTAAAGTCCGAGGCAGCTACGGTGAAAAGCTCTGCTCCACAAGGCACAGTATTCGCTCCCATCTTGTTCCTCATCCTCATTTCTGACATAGACAAGGATGTCAGCCACAGCACCGTGTCTTCCTTTGCAGATGACACCCGAATCTGCATGACAGTGTCTTCCATTGCAGACACTGCAAGGCTCCAGGCGGACATCAACCAAATCTTTCAGTGGGCTGCAGAAAACAATATGAAGTTCAATGATGAGAAATTTCAGTTACTCAGATATGGTAAGCACGAGGAAATTAAATCTTCATCAGAGTACAAAACAAATTCTGGCCACAAAATAGAGCGAAACACCAACGTCAAAGACCTGGGAGTGATCATGTCGGAGGATCTCACCTTCAAGGGCCATAACATTGTATCAATCGCATCTGCTAGAAAAATGACAGGATGTATAATGAGAACTTTCAAAACTAGGGAGGCCAAGCCCATGATGACACTCTTCAGGTCACTTGTTCTATCTAGGGTGGAATATTGCTGCACACTAACAGCACCTTTCAAGGCAGGTGAAATTGCTGACCTAGAAAATGTACAGAGAACCTTCACGGCGCGCATAACGGAGATAAAACACCTCAATTACTGGGAGCGCTTGAGGTTCCTAAACCTGTATTCCCTGGAACGCAGGCGGGAGAGATACATGATTATATACACCTGGAAAATCCTAGAGGGACTAGTACCAAACTTGCACACGAAAATCACTCACTACGAAAGCAAAAGACTTGGCAGACGATTCAACATCCCCCCAATGAAAAGCAGGGGTGTCACTAGCACGTTAAGAGACCATACAATAAGTGTCAGGGGCCCGAGACTGTTCAACTGCCTCCCAGCACACATAAGGGGGATTACCAACAGACCCCTGGCAGTCTTCAAGCTGGCACTGGACAAGCACCTAAAATCGGTTCCTGACCAGCCGGGCTGTGGCTCGTACGTTGGTTTGCGTGCAGCCAGCAGTAACAGCCTGGTTGATCAGGCTCTGATTCACCAGGAGGCTTGGTCACAGACCGGGCCGTGGGGGCGTTGACCCCCGGAACTCTCTCCAGGTAAACTCTAGGTAAACATAATAATAATCATCTTGAATTTAAATATTATATTGGAAGAGGTTTATTTCTTATTTTGGTTCCTTGTAGTCTTGATATTAAAGTATGTAAATATGGTTTAATTTTACATAAACCTTGATTTGTATTATACAGCTGTATTTACTAGTAATTATTAATCTTTGAGTATTTTTTAACTTATTTTTTTTAAATGTTGTAATAAAGGAGTATGTTAGTTGCTTTATTTACGAAAATTCACTCGTTTCTGCTGTTAGGTAATATTTCATTAAACCCTCAGTTTAATGTACTACTGTACTTTGATTTTAAATGGCAAGGAAACACTGGACAAATTCCGCTGGGTCATTTGATGCGGAAACAAATCTGTAACCAACAGACTTTGTCCAAAGTTTGTTAATTACAGATTTGTCTATTTATGTTATGATCACGGCAAAGTCTCATCTCTATCCACCACAGTCATCATTACTGGCCACCCACTTCCTCCTATTAGTGTGTTCACTCAGGGGTTTAGTAATTACAGTACGTACTTGTTTCACAAATTCTGTAATGTAACAAGTATGGCAGCATCTTTCAAGGGGGGAATGCCTTGATGCTCTCAAAGGGGCTCTTGATATAAGGAATTGAAGCTATCCTCTCCTTCCTTGGATTAAACTTACTTATTTCTCACCCTTCCTATTCCCCTTGAATAAAATAATAAGGAAATAGTAACTAGCGCAGCAGGGAAGTTCAGTTATATACATGTTTCAGACTGCTGGGGAAGGCAACCATCGCTCTGAGGAATGTGGTTCATGCTGCCCCCGGCACCCCACTGGACTATGACCTGGGTCTCCTTGATGCTAATGACTCTCCTACTGTTGGCACACTTAAGCTGACCATCTCTTACACTCCTCCAGCAGGTAGGTGGTGGGGGGTAGTGTATCCTGAGTACATGTCTAGTAATAGGGCATGCTTTGGAGGGATATTGGCTTGCTGTTATTTGCCCCTCCTCAGGCAGGAACCTTGTCATGGTGAAGATGTTATTCCGATTATTTATCCTGGAGGGTTAGGAAGCTAAGTGTGGCTTATTTTCACTGGAGGCTCCTTTGATTATCTTTTCCAGGATGTGGTGTACAACAGTAGGCTAACACCCAGGTACCTCTTTACTCAGTATTTCCACCCATCTCGGGATTGAGCCCGGGATGTTCCAGTGTTAACCAAAGACAGTACCACTTTACCCACAGGTAGAATGTATGTTGCATACTGTGACCCAGCAAGCAACATTGGCAAGCACCAATTTGTGAATGCACTTCGTTGAAGATTATTTACTCTAGTCCCTTAAATCCTTGAGTTTCGTTATTCCTACCTCCGTCATTGTTTTTCACTCTAAGCTAGCCTTACACAATCTCTCAATTTTCATATCTTAAAGTAAGTTAGACAATAATTTTGTGTATGTGTAGAAGCATGTTATGCAATATATGCTTCTTGGTTATTAGGGTCACAAGTTTTCCTCTGTAGAACAAACATCTTAATTATTATATTCTCTATGAAGTAGGTTATAGTACATCTTTTCACTGCTTTTTAAATAAACTATTGCATAGTTTTTTTTTAAATATAAATTTTTTCACTGGTGCATTTCCTTTTCAGCTTGGTTCAAAATGTTAAAATTTATATCTCTTATTAAACTAATATCAAGTGTAGAATATTGTATCTCTTATACAGTTCTTACTCCTTTAATTTCAGAGAGGCATTTAATGGGCTTCTGAGAACTATACTAAAATTAAAATAATAATTAAATGTCTGATTAAATTACCTGTTTTTTAAGGTTTTCTGTAAAATTATTTTGTATTCCTAAAATGTAACTGACCTTTCATCATTCCTTTCATAATAAAAAATCCATTCTATGTGCAGTAATATTTCTGTTCAGTAGTAATTCTGTGCAGTAGTATTTCTGTGCAGTAGTATTTCTGTGCAGTAGTATTTCTGTTCAGTAGTAATTCTGTGCAGTAGTATTTCTGTGCAGTAGTATTTCTGTGCAGTAGTATTTCTGTTCAGTAGTAATTCTGTGCAGTAGTATTTCTGTGCAGTAGTATTTCTGTGCAGTAGTATTTCTGTGCAATAGTATTTCTGTGCAGTAGTATTTCTGTGCAGTAGTATTTCTGTGCAGTAGTATTTCTGTGCAGTAGTGTTTCTATACAGTACTGTAGTATTTCTGTACAATAGTATTTCTAAAATGTTTAAACTCCATCTTCACAGCTTTTCCTCTCTTGTCAACCTTCTTTTGTCTTCAACATTTGTGTAAATACCATATTTAAAACTTTACGAAGTACATACTAGTTTTCTAAGTGTACCTCACTACTTTCCTGTAGGTGCATCTACAGGAGGTGGTCGTAGTATAGGCGCACTAGCAGCCAGGTCCGCTGGGGTCACCTCAGAGCTGGCAGACGGTATGAACCATTCAGCAGGAGTCAAGGATGTTAGGTCACCTGGGTTCTCTGAACAGTCAGAGACTAAGGATTCTATGCCACACCAGGCTTCTGATCCATCGGAGGCTAAGGGTAGGGGCAAGAAGAGAGGGAAATTCCGATTTGGGCCCAAGCGTCTGGCTGAAACCGTTTTGAAAGAGACAGACTCAAGTAAATCAGTGTTTGTTCCATGCATGTCACAGAAGTGACAAACTGCACAAACAAATTTAAAATACTATTTAAATAAGCTTTAATTGCAATGTGTAAATCAAATTCACCTCAGAAAAGGCACTCATGAAATTTAATGCAACTCTTAGTTTTAATTTCTCTTTAAAAAGACCCTTCATTTATAAATTATAATTATTCCACTTAATAAAAGTAATATGCATACCAAAATAAAAGATTTCAAGCATTAAATGATTGAAAAAATGAAGAATGCCTGAAAAAAATCTCATTTTGTTTCTCACACTTGTTCTCACCTTCTGGTTTTCTTTCTCGTAAACTTACCAGTTAATTTTCTTGTTCACATAAATAGTCAAAATCAAATGTTGTTGCTTTTTATACTTGACTTTAATACAGTGGTGCAGTATTTTAAACCACTCGCATAGAGATATTTAGCAGTTTTTCCCCATATATACAACTTGTAACTCATACTGTACACGTATTTTAATTTGCATTTCTGTACTAGAGCCAGCATTCCACTTTTGCTATGTACACAGACTTTCTTTTCTCATATTAACCCTTTCAGGGTCCGTCCCGTAGATCTACGGCTTTACGTTCAGGGTCCAAACCGTAGATCTACGCCATGAGCTCAGCTCACTCTGATAAACTGTGAGTGGTACATTTGGGCCTAGATATGAGAGAATACATCTATGTGGTATGTGTGCACCACATAAAACAGATCCTGCAGCACACTGTGTATAATGAGAGAAAAAAAATGAAATCATGATTTTTCGATTAAAACAGCAACTTTGCAGTGTTTTTTCGTATGTTTTTATAGTTGTATTTGCGATTTCTTGGTCTCATTTGATAGAATGGAAGACATATTACAGAAATAGAGATGATTTTGATTGGTTTTAGCATTGGAAATGGCTTGAAACTGAGCTCAAAGTAGCAGAAATATTAAATTTTTGCCGATATTCAAGAGTAAACAAACGACCTCACACGTCTAATACACGCCAGCTGGTGGGTCTAATATACATTCACAAATATGGTGATGATATTTATACAATTATTACAGTATTGCATAACAGTAAATCTTCTATTTTTTGGTGTGAATAAAAATTCATTATGTGAATAAAAAATCAAAATTGAATTTATTTGTAAAGCCTCAAAACATAACTAATGAACAGAGGAAATGTTAGTTTAGTGCCAGGAATGCCTACATTGTTCATTCTGGACCCTATTTTGAAATTGGAATATTTTGAACTTTGTGTTAAATTGGCCAAATTAACAATTTCCGATCACTTTATTTTGTAGTTGAAACAGTTGACTTGGCGATTTCTTGTGCTCAATCGATAGAATAGAAGTAATACTAGTGAAATAGCTAAGAATTTGGTTGATTGGAATAATGTAATTGGCCTAAAATGGGAGTCAAAGTCGGCAAAATCGCCGATTCGTAAATATCGCTGACACATCAAAATTCGCGAGAGCATAATTTCGTCAATTTTCCACCAAATTTCGTACTTTTTGTTTTATTACCTTCACAAAAAGATTCTCTACGATTTCATAAGAAAAAATAACAAATTTTTTTTTTTGAAAATTCTTGGACACTGGTGCGTGACTCCAGATTTGGGCCTTGGACCCTGAAAGGGTTAAACAGTGATACAAGTTGAGGACTGTTTTTTCTAAATTCTTAGAGACATTAAAATTCACCCTTACTTTATTTTACCAGTATATTTGAAGACAATCATGTTGTAAAAGTAACTCACAGTATTCAAAAATTGATTTAAAAAACATTCCGCAATTGATGTAAATTTCTACACTTGAGAAACTCATTTGGGTGAGCAAGTACGGTACAGTTTAGTATCCATATTTGTAATTATTTTGCATTTAACTAAAAAAGACAAAAATATGCTGTAAAGTCTTGGTATTTGCAGCTCAGGTGTTCTCTTACTAATGTTTGCCAAATAAATATAGGTTTTGTACTGTGAGTGTCAGTCTTGCCCATACCACCGTCACTCAAAGTTCGGATGTCCCTCACTTTATTCATTGAATACATTTCTGGCTAATTGTGCATAAAACAAAATTTTGTAAAGCTAATTCAACATACAGTAGCTTTTTCAAATGTAGAGGTACATTCCAAGACTTGGCAGATTCCACATTTATGGAATAAAAAAGTCAAAGTGACTTACTTCCAATGGGGTCCTTGTTATCAGTATTGGGGACCTTTATTCCTCATGCTGCTCTTTATTCACAATATTTTCTCTAACTCCTCACTATTTCTTTTTCAGCTTTTATTTTGCACTCGGCCTATCATTCTACATATTCATTTCATGAAATTCATGTTTACTTTTCAAAACATATACCTCAGTGGCAAGTATTGCTTCTGCCATTGCTCCTCAAAATTAAATTGCTTGTATCATGTAGTGTAAAAAGATTCTACTGATGTTAAACTGCTTAGCTTCTGGAGTGTTGTAGAGGTGCTCCTTGCTTCATGCAGTAGATGTAGTCCAGGCCCATGACAGATGTGTTGTAGAGGTGCTCCTTGCTTCATGTAGTAGATGTAGTCCAGGCCCATGACAGATGTGTTGTAGAGGTGCTCCTTGCTTCATGTAGTAGATGTAGTCCAGGCCCATGACAGATGTGTTGTAGAGGTGCTCCTTGCTTCATGTAGTAGATGTAGTCCAGACCCATGACAGATGTGTTGTAGAGGTGCTTCTTGCTTCATGCAGTAGGTGCAGTCCAGGCCCATGGCAGATGTATTGTAGAAGTGCTCCTTGCTTCATGCAGTAGATGCTGTCCAGGCCATGGCAGATGTATTGAACTTAGTCATGCTGTCAACTAGCTCCACATAATAAGAATTATGAATGGAGTATAATCTTGATTTAAGGGATTTCAAATTTAAAGGACAAAATCTTTGGCCAGACAACATTTGGAAGCAACAGAGAAAGCTCATTAAATCCAGCATTGTCCATTATCCTCATGGCCCACTAACTAAATTTATTTCAGATTTTTCAGACAAAATACATTAATTCTTAATTACCCATTATTGTTGCACTCTGCTAGGTAAATTTATTTTTTTATTTAACAGCTAAGTGCTATACGGCTTCTCCTCACTTAACGACTGAATTCCATTCCTAATACCACATCAGTAAACGAATTCATTGCTCAGCAAGGAGCACACTATAATGGCAGTGGGTTTGCATCATTCATCTTTGATATTGTTTTAACCCTTAAATGGTCCAAACGTATATATACGTTTTTTCAACATCTGAAAGTATGTAAAAAAATGTAGATCTTCTTTTTTGTTTTACATTTGAAAACGTGTATAAAAAACTTTTATCTACATTTCTTTTTTTTTGTTATATTTGAAAATATGTAAAAAAAGTAGATCTACTTTTGTAGCTACGAATTTGAACGTCGATCTCTTTGGACCGTTTAAGGGTTAATGTCACCTTTATAACATTTTTAGTATATTTTTAAATGTTTATTTTTTTTTTTTTTTTTTTTTTTTTCAACAAGTCGGCCGTCTCCCACCGAGGCAGGGTGACCTAAAAAAAGAAAGAAAATCCCCAAAAAGAAAATACTTTCATCATCATTCAACACTTTCACCACACTCGCACATTATCACTGTTTTTGCAGAGGTGCTCAGATACAACAGTCTAGAAGCATACACATATAAAGATACACAACATATCCCTCCAAACTGCCAATATCCCAAACCCCTCCTTTAAAGTGCAGGCATTGTACTTCCCATTTCCAGGACTCAAGTCCGACTATATGAAAATAACCGTTTCCCTGAATCCCTTCACTAAATATTACCCTGCTCACACTCCAACAGATCGTCAGTCCCAAGTACCATTCGTCTCCATTCACTCCTATCTAACACGCTCACGCACGCTTGCTGGAAGTCCAAGCCCCTTACCCACAAAACCTCCTTTACCCCTCTCTCCAACCCTTTCGAGGACGACCCCTACCCCGCCTTCCTTCCCCTATAGATTTATATGCTTTCCATGTCATTCTACTTTGATCCATTCTCTCTAAATGACCAAACCACCTCAACAACCCCTCTTCTGCCCTCTGACTAATACTTTTATTAACTCCACACCTTCTCCTAATTTCCACACCCGAATTTTCTGCATATATTTACACCACACATTGCCCTTAAACAGGACATCTCCACTGCCTCCAACCGTCTCCTCGCTGCTGCATTTACCACCCAAGCTTCACACCCATATAAGAGTGTTGGTACTACTATACTTTCATACATTCCCTTCTTTGCCTCCATAGATAACGTTTTTTGACTCCACATATACCTCAACGCACCACTCACCTTTTTTCCCTCATCAATTCTATGATTAACCTCATCCTTCATAAATCCATCCGCCGACACGTCAACTCCCAAGTATCTGAAAACATTCACTTCTTCCATACTCCTCCTCCCCAATTTGATATCCAATTTTTCTTTATCTAAATCATTTGACACCCTCATCACCTTACTCTTTCTATGTTCACTTTCAACTTTCTACCTTTACACACATTCCCAAACTCATCCACTAACCTTGCAATTTTTCTTCAGAATCTCCCATAAGCACAGTATCATCAGCAAAAAGTAAACTGTGTCAATTCCCATTTTGAATTTGATTCCCCATAATTTAATCCCACCCCTCTCCCAAACACCCTAGCATTTACTTCCTTAACAACCCCATCTATAAATATATTAAACAACCATGGTGACATTACACATCCCTGTCTAAGACCTACTTTTACCGGGAAATAGTCTCCCTCTCTTCTACACACCCTAACCTGAGCCTCACTATCTTCATAAAAACTCTTTACAGCATTTAATAACTTACCACCTATTCCATAAATGTTTATACAGTCTGTAAATGATTACATTGCTAAGTGAGGAGATGTACATTAAATCTAGAATTGTCCATTAGTAATGCTATCATGGAATAATACTGTATTCTCATAATTGGGTTTTAACAGATACTTCCTCCCCTATTAGCCTGGTAAATCAAGGATTCACTATGCAGTTCCATTTTTGTGTACTGTGCCAGTAGCACAATGAGTATATATTGCACATACAGAATTACCAACAGAAATGGTGGCCCGTAGCCTGGTGGCAAAAGCTCTAGCTTTACACGCTGAGGGTCCAGGTTCGATTCTTGGCAAGGGTGGAAACATTGGGCGTGTTTCCTTACATCGGTTGTCCATGTTCACCCGTCAGTAAAAAATGTGTACCTGGGTGTTAGTTGACTGGTGTGGGTCACATCCTGGAACAAAATTGACCTAATTTGCCCGAAATACTCTGCATAACAAGTGGCTTTCTTTATAGTAGGTCACTGATGTCAGCTAGGCCTGTATACCTTGTACATGTACTTGTAGAAATAAAGATATTATTACTATTAAATGGGGCATTGCATAATACCAAGCCTACATTAAGCAAGAGAATAAGTAATGGAGCTATACAAATTATTTTGTGGTATAATGTTGTAAAGTCTCCATACTGGGGAATTTAATTTGCTGTAACTATCAAGGACTCTAGTACATGTATATGGTACTCTACCTGAGACTGATGTTATGTTATCCTCAAACTCATTTTTTTTTTTTTTTGCTTGAAATGCTACAAATAGCTTCAGTTAATTTGTTAAAGTATTACACCTTAAAGCAAACATTTTAGACCAGACTAAACAATTCTATTTACATATATCTTAAAATTTATATAAAAACATTTTAAGGACTGCATAACTAAAAATGTATGAAATGGAAAGTTCGAGTACTGTATATACAGTTTTATTGTAAGTGTAATTGGAATGATGCCAGATGCCAGATGATAATCCTAATATTGTGGACACTTGACTGTTAATCTTTGACAAGCGCACCACTCTGAAGACTGTACTATAATGATATTTCACCCAGTTATGGTCTTAAATCATTTTTCTCTTGTCATGAACAAAGTAGTCGTCACAACTTTAATACCACTCACATACATGTATCTCATATTACTCTCTTAGTTTCTTAAAATGATTATAATCATTTGCCAACCACTATGCCATACTTAAATTTCACGGGTAAATTACTTTGTACCTCACTAGCTCTTTCTCGCAGGAATCAGTGCCACACCAGATGGCGGGGTGGACGCAGCCACGGTGGGAGGGATGCCTCAGATGCCCCAACAGAGGAATAGAGACAAGCTCTCCAGTGCCAAAACAAAGTTTCAGGTGGGTAAAGAAGTTCCAGATAGGTAAGAAAGTTTCAGTAAGGTTGTGTCTACTGTGTGTCAGGAACGGTTTATCTTTAAAAATATATTACATCATATATACCATATCTCATGCTTCAAAAGGTGATATAGCAACTTGAATGTGGTTTTCATTGTAATTTTCTGTGTAAACTGTTGATATGCATCAGTGGGATGAAAAGCTGTATTGTTTTTAATTCTTTGTTTCATATTAGAAACAGAAGTGCAATTGTTACAATGTCATCTTTTTCCTGATGTAGTGTATTTTTTTTTTTTTTCAACAAGTCGGTCGTCTCCCACCGAGGCAGGGTGACCCAAAAAAGAAAGAAAATCTCCAAAAAGAATATACTTTCATCATCATTCAACACTTTCACCTCACTCACACATTATCACTGTTTTTGCAGAGGTGCTCAGAATACAACAGTTTAGAAGCATATACGTATAAAGATACACAACATATGTAGTGTATACAGTGCACCCCCGGTTAACGATATTTTTTCACTCCATAAGTATGTTCAGGTGCCAGTACTGACCGAATTTATTCCCATAAGGAATATTGTGAAGTAGATTAGTCCATTTCAGACCCCCAAACATACACGTACAAACGCACTTACATAAATACACTTACATAATTGGTCGCATTCGGAGGTAATCGTTATGCGGGGGTCAACTGTACATGTATTTAATGATAAAGCCAGAAGATTGATTAAATACTTTCTAGGAGCATGTTAGCAGCACTGTCATTAGATATAAAGGTACATAATACTGACAGGTAGTGGAGAAATACACTATTGGAATCACTAGGACATGTTTATTGGAAATGTTTCCTTCCTTGGACTTATGGAGCAACCAAGGTCCCAGGACCAAAATATTTTCTAGCTGTAGCATTTTGTGTTTTTCTCTTCTACAAATTCTAATCACCTTCATTGAGACTCCAATAATTTTAAAATAATCAGTAAGTTAGGTGATTTGCAGCAAAGTTAAAAAAAAACTGTATGCAGTGTGAAATATTGTACAGTGGACACCCGCTTTACGATCAGCTCCCAATGCGACCAATTATGTAAGTGCGTTTGTACGTGTATGTTTGGGGGTCTGAAATGGACTAATCTAATTCACAATATTCCTTATGGGAACAAATTCGTTCAGTACTGGCACCTGAACATACTTCTGGAATGAAATAATATCGTAAACCGAGGGTCCACTGTATACAGTAATGCTCTGCATAACTTTGGGCTTTCACTCTGTTCTCAAGTGTCACCCATTTCTATATAAACAATGTATCATATTAAAATAAAGTTGCATTTGTATTTGTACCTGGAGCTTAAACTATCGTACTGCCTTGTTGTCCTCATTAGATCCGGGTGAGAGTGGTGGAGGGACGTCAACTGATGGGCTGTAACATAAATCCTGTGTGCCAAGTGTCCATGAATGGTAATGCTCGTCAGACTAAGGCTCACAAGGGCACCACTACTCCATGGTTTGACCAGATCTTCTTTTTCCAAGTTGAAAAACTTCCCGCTGAAGTCATGGAAGATTATCTTGAGTTTAAGGTGAGTATACTCGTATTCTTTTCTCAAACTCTGGTATTTGATTATCATATAATTTTTTAATATTTCCATTGGTTGTACTACTTATTACCTCTGGTAAATTGCTTCATTCTTTTGTTATTGTTTGTGAAGAATTTTCTGGTATGCCTTCAGCACCTCTTCTTTCTTAGATTATAGTAACAATCTCCTGTCCTCCCTTTTTTATGGTCTGAGGAGAACACTCTTATTAATTGTTTTGTATCCTTTTAATTTTTGATTGATCGCATCTTTACCTAAATTTACGGCATGAGCCTTTAAGTAAGATCTGAATATCTTAGTGAAATAATGTCAAAATTTAATGATAAATTTTTTGTATAAATAATGAGAGTTAACATTGTAAGAGCCTAGAGATGTTCCTGTAACTTGTTAGTGAGTGTTTCTTCTGCTTTCACTCACTGTGTCTCTTTGTCAGGTGTGCAACTCCAGCGGTATTCGGGCCAGTACCCTCATTGGCTCTTTCAAGGTAAGCCTTTTATTTTTTATTAAGTGATTTAAAGAATATCAAGTAAGAGTAGTGGAAGAAGAGTGTCCTTTGGTCTTGTTTAGCTAGTCATGACAGCCGCACAACTTCTCGTGTTGAGTCTGACGATTCGGTTAAAATTATCACTGAAACGAGTAAATCTCATTTATTTTGAGTTAGCAATTTACACATTAACACACAGTCCTTCATCTGGTTAACATAAAAGTTATGGTTTTAGTCTCAGGAGATGTACGTTCCATCAGCTGAAAGGTAAACTGGAGCAAAAGGTAAACTATGTGTACTGAAGTGGATGACGAATTTTCTCCTCAAAAGGAAAGTGCAAACAATTACATGAGGTAAAAAATCCTTATGGGATAATATCACCCGTAGAATGCTGCAAGGATCACTACTTCCAATAATATTTCTAATTTATAAAAATAACTTTGCAGAAGGAATACATATTTAAACATATTTGCAGTGTGGTGCGAATATAATGCAGAGAATTTCGTAGTTTAGAAATTAGGAGGAGGTGCAGGATTACCAAACCTCTTATCCAGAGGGCTGGGGAGGGGTTGTTGAGGTGGTTTGGACATGTAGAGAGGATGGAACAAAATAAAATGACTTCGAGAGTGTATAAATCTGTAGTGGAGGGAAGGCAGGGTAGAGGTCGGCCTAGGAAAGGTTGGAGGGAGGGGGCTAAAGGAGGTTTTGTGTGCAAGGGGCTTGGACTAACAGCAAGTATGCGTGAGCGTATTAGATAGGAGCGAATGGAGACGAATGGTTTTTAGGACTTGACGTGCTGTTGGAGTGTGAACAGGGTAATATTTATGAAGGGATTCAGGGAAACCGGCAGTCCGGACTTGAGTCCTGGAGATGGGAAGTACAGTGCCTGCATTCTGAAGGAGTTTTATAACTAGTGTAAGTGCACCTCTGGCAAGACAGTGATGGAGTGAATGATGGTGAAAGTTTTTCTTTTTCATGCCACCCTACCTTGGTGGAAAACAGCCGATGTGTTAATAAAAATAAAATATTTGCAGATGATGCAAAGGTCTTAATTAAAAATTACTTTAAATCACTTCAAGAAGACATGCATAGGTTAAGTGAATGATGGAATTTAATATGGCTAGGAATCATGTAATGGAAGAAAATGAAAAGACCACAAGAAACATATACATAGATTGTATGATAAATTCTTAGAAGGATCAGACAGAGAGGGATCTGGAGGCCATCATTGATAAAAGAATTGTCATTGGAAGATCAATAATGTAATTGTTAGGAACTGTTGTTACAATGACTAATAAAAATTAGTTTTAATATAAAGATGATAAAAAGCTTAAAATATATTGAAAATGTATTATGTAGATAAAAATTTGAATCTCTGACAGTGCTTTGGTATTTGTAGCTTAAAAAATACGTATTGGTCGACTAACTATAAATGGCTTTTATTATGATGTGATAATCTCTTATTCTGTCTTTCAGTGTGAGGTTGGTATGGTATATGACCAGGCTGAGCATGCCATACTCAACCGTTGGCTGGTATTGGCCAACCCTGAGGAGCCAACACCAACAGTGCAAGGCAAGAGCAACTTATTAAGTTCTGTAAAGCACTTATGTAAAAGGATCTTAATAGAATACAAATATAATTTAAAACAAATTAATTTGATTGTATTTCAGGAATTTCTCCACAGTACGTAACCTAGGCAGTGCACCCCTGCTGTTGTTTGGCCTGTCCAGACACCAGAACAGTGAATCAAATTTCCATCTTACTTGCAGGATACTTGAAGGTGTGTGTGGCTGTGCTGGGTCCTGGGGATGTGTGTCCAGACATGACAGCACGGCAGAGTGACCAGGATGATGTAGAAGCCAATCTCCTTTGGTCAGCAGGAGTCCACCTCCAGCCAGCCACCTTTATCCTCACAGTCTACTGTGCCCAGAACCTTCCTCGAAGTAAGACTTGTTGTATTACAAAGAAATTTACACACATTTTTCTTGCATTTTCCTACATTTCTTTTTTTTTTTGTGTGTGTATAAAGTAAGTCTGTGTATTTTAGTTTGCCTATATATTTTAAGCCCAAATTGGTCATCCTACCTTGGTGGGAAACTACAAGTATGATAAAATACAAATGGTAATTTTTTGCCTTTGAATAAAAGCAATATTTTTTTTTTTCAATAAGTCAGCCATCTCCCACTAAGGCAGGGTGACCCAAAAAGAAAGAAAAAATCCCCAAAAAGAAAATACTTTAATCATCATTCAACACTTTCACCTCACTCACACATAATCACTGTTTTTACAGAGGTGCCCAGAAACACAACAGTTTAGAAGTTTTTTTTTTTTTTTTTTCAACAAGTTGGCCGTCTCCCACCGAGGCAGGGTGACCCAAAAAAGAAAGAAAATCCCCAAAAAGAAAATGCTTTTCATCATCATTCAATGCTTTTCAACCACACTCACCATAATCACTGGTTTTTTTGCAGAGGTGCTCAGAATACAACGTTTAGAAGCAAATTACTATAAAGATACACAACATATCCCTCCAAACTGCCCAATATCCCCAAACCTCTCCTTTAAAGTGCATGCATTGTACTACCCCATTTCCAGGACTCAAGTCTGACTATATGCAAATAACCGGTTTCCCTGAATCCCTTCACTAAATATTACGACCTGCTCACACTCAACAGATCCAGGTCCAAAGTACCATTCGTCCCCATTCACACCTATCTAACACGTTCACACACGCTTGCTGGAAGTCCAAGCCCCTTGCCCACAAACCTCCTTTACCCCCTCTCTCAACCCTTTCGAGGACGACCCTACCTTGCCTTCCTTCCCCTATAGATTTATATGCTTTCCATGTCATTCTACTTTGATCCATTCTCTCTAAATGACCAAACCACCTCAACAACCCCTCTTCTGCCCTCTGACTAATACTTTTATTAACTCCACACCTTTTCCTAATTTCCACACTCCGAATTTTTTGCATAATATTTACACCACACATTGCCCTTAGACAGGACATCTCCACTGCCTCCAACCGTCTCTCTCGCTGCTGCATTTACCACCCAAGCTTCACACCCATATAAGAGTGTTGGTACTACTATACTTTCATACATTCCCTTCTTTGCCTCCATAGATAACGTTTTTTGACTCCACATATACCTCAATGCACCACTCACCTTTTTTCCCTCATCAATTCTATGATTAACCTCATCCTTCATAAATCCATCCGCCAACACATCAACTCCCAAGTATCTGAAAACATTTACTTCTTCCATACTCCTCCTCCCCAATTTGATATCCAATTTTTCTTTATCTAAATCATTTGATACCCTCATCACCTTATCTTTTCTATGTTCACTTTCAACTTTCTACCTTTACACACATTCCCAAACTCATCCACTAACCTTTGCAATTTTTCTTTAGAATCTCCCATAAGCACAGTATCATCAGCAAAAGTAACTGTGTTAATTCCCATTTTGAATTTGATTCCCCATAATTTAATCCCACCCCCTCTCCGAACACCCTAGCATTTACTTCTTTTACAATCCCATCTATAAATATATTAAACAACCATGGTGACATTACACATCCCTGTCTAAGACCTACTTTTACCGGGAAGTAGTCTCCCTCTCTTCTACGCACCCTAACCTGAGCCTCACTATCCTCATAAAAACTCTTTACAGCATTTAGTAACTTACCACCTATTCCATATACTTGCAGCATCTGCCGCATTGCTCCCCTATCCACTCTATCATATGCCTTTTCTAACTCCATAAATGCAATAAAAACTTCCCTACCTTTATCTAAATACTGTTCACATATATGCTTCAATGTAAACACTTGATCTACACATCCCCTACCCACTCTGAAACCTCCTTGCTCATCCGCAACCCTACATTCTGTCTTACCTCTAATTCTTTCAATTATAACCCTACCATACACTTTTCCTGGTATACTCAATAAACTTATTCCTCTATAATTTTTACAATCTCTTTTGTCCCTTTCCCTTTATATAAAGGGACTATACATGCTCTCTGCCAATCCCTAGTACCTTCCCCTCTTTCATACATTTATTAAACAAAAGTACCAACCACTCCAGCACTATATCCCCCCTGCTTTTAACATTTCTGTCATGATCCCATCAGTTCCAGCTGCTTTACCCCTTTCATTCTATGTAATGCCTCACGTACCTCCCCACACTTACATTCTGCTCTTCTTCACTCCTAAAAGATGGTATACCTCCCTGACCAGTGCATAAAATTCTACCTCCCTTTTCCCTCAACATTTAAAAGTTCCTCAAAATATTCTGCCATCTACCTAATACCTCCCTTCCCCCATTCTAACCCCCCTACTCTTTTTTTAAACTGAAAAAATCCATATTTCCCTGAGTTATACATATAAAATACACAATATATCCCTCCAAACCCCCATATCTCCCCCCCTTTAGGTGCAGGCATTGTACGTCCCATTTCAGGACTAAGTGGGGTTATATAAAATAACCAGTTTTCCTGAATCCCTTCAAAAATATTACCTGCTCACACTCCAACAGCTCTCGGGCCCCCAAATACATTTGTCCCTTTCCCCTCCTGTCTAACACGCTCCCCGCAGCTTGCTGGAAACCCAAAACCCCCTCGCCCTCAACACCCTTAAAAACCCCCCTCCCCCCAACCTTTTCGAGGACAACCCCACCCGTTTCCCTTTCCCCCTACAGATTTTTACCTGTCCATGTCATTCTACTTTGATCCATCTTTTAAAATGACCAAACCCCTAAAAAACCCTTTTCACCCTCAGACTAATACTTTTATGTTGGGGAAAGAAACAGATACAAGTAATGCGACATTTTTTTTGGAAACACTTGACAAAGTTTGGAGAACGAAATGTTCCCACAATAAAATGTCTCATTAGTTGCATTTGTGTGCATTTACCAAACAGTAATAGCTTGTCAGAGTGTGAAAACTGCCAGTGTTATGAGAGACCAGAGGTCAGCCTTTACCATAAAATTGTAATTTCTTCTCAATGTTTTGGGACAATTGTACTACATCTATTTCTGTATTATCTTTTAAAAGTTTTAAAATGTGTTTTTGATAGAGAGGGTTTTAAAATTTAAATTTTATCTTTGTCAGATGACTTGTAGTTAATTTTTAGTACCTATTTTCAACCATGCTGCTTTACAAAAAGTTTATAAACATTTTCAAAATGGTAAAAAGCCAACATTTTATCATCCTATTAGATGTGTATACATGTCCTTATATGTTTTAAGAAAACCCTTCCCAAAAAAAATTTTAAAAAACATTGCATAGATTCAATTGTTTTTAACATAATAAAAATTAACTACAGTTTCTAACAGGTATCATTGTTAACTGTGTCAAAAAAAAACTGAATACCAGACCTGAGTAATATATACATCAAAACTACAACACATAGTCCCATACCAGCTAATGAAGAGCCAGTTGCACACCTGATCATTGACTGTTGGGACCCTTTACCTAAGGGCCAAGTCGGGAACCAAATTGTTCACTTTGTTGATAAAACCCCAGGTGAACATATACATGTTTGGCTAAAACTGGGCTTCCTCAACCTTGCTTAAACGTGGATGCAGGAACAATGCAGACACTGAGGAGGTGCTGGGTAAGGAAGACTTCAAAGGAGCTGGTGGACCCGTACCTGATGGCTGGTTACGCTGGTCGGGAGGTCCAGACCAAGATACTTTACACCAATGAAAACCCAGAGTTCCGGCAGAACCTCCACATGGGCTTCCTCTTCCCTTCCATGTGTAATGTTATCAAGATCACTCTTAAAGATTGGTATGTTATTTTTCAAGGCCATCTCATAAATAAATAAATAATTCATGTTAAATGCTAAACCCGTGGGTCATTTAGTGCAAGATGTGGTAGAGGCTCAGTCTTCTGTCTGCTGAGCACAAGACAGATGTGCTTCCTATTTGTACTCACCTATAGGCAGGGGCAGATCTACACTGAAACTAATGAAGCTTGAGATTCAGGGCCCCTATTCCCAGAGGGGCCCCAGAAGTGACTTTAGTACACGTTGCTTAAAAATTTTGGATCTTCTGTATGAGAAGGGGTTGCGAAGGGGCCCCAATATCAGTTCAAGATTCAGGGCCCCAAAAATGTAGATCTGCCACTGCCTATAGGTTATCTTACAGTAATTTATGTTATAGAACTGATTCAATAATTTATTTTCTTTGTGATTAATAACTTAATGAAAGTTCTTAGTAGCTTGTGCCCTTCGAGGGAGGTTCAGTGAACCCGGTGACCAATCTCAATGCAAGGAGTTGAACCTGTCCTTTCCTTGAATCAAATCTGATTGCTTCCCATATTTTCCCCAGTCACTGGATGACCCTTAAAGGTTTAATGCTTTCTGTAAATATAACAAAAATTAGTAGCATACACAAGGCTGCATTCTCTGAGAACATAACATGGTAGAACAAGGGTTAGTAAGAGAAGATAGACTAGTAGGTGCAAAAGCCCCTGGATCCCTTTTAAAAAAACTTTCCCGTAAACAAAACCAGTGAATTGGGACACCGCCCTTAGTTTTGCTTTTGGGAGTTTCAATAGGTAATCAAAATGGTAACCAAAATGAGAAAATCAAAAAATAAGTAACCAGAAATAGGTAATCACAAAAAGAAAACCCCAGATGGGAAAACCCAACAAATATTTTTTTGGAGTGAAAATTAAAAAATTTAAAGGAACCCCTAGAAAAACAAATCGTTTTTGTCATTTAAAAAATAGGAGGGGAAAAATTTTAAAAGGGAATTTAGAGGTTTTTGGGGAAGATGGGGGGAAATTTTTTGGGGGAATTTTTAAAATGTTGATGAAGAAAGGGAAGCTGTGATTTTGTGATGGGAAGGAGGAAAAACTCTTGTAGGAGTGGGAAACCCCTTTGGTTGAGTGGGGGGGGAAGGGTTGGGTGAGGCAGTAGGTAAAATGAAAGGGGGTAAGGCACCCGGGGGATTGAGGGGAAAAAATAAAGATAAAAAATTTTAAAAAGCAGGGGGGGCAAATTTTTTTGGAGGGGGTTGGGTTTGCAATTATTTTAATAAATGTAGGGAAGAGGGAAAGGGGACTGGGGTTTGGGGCAGAAAAGCATCCCAAAATTTCCTTTGAATAAAGGAAAAGGGGGACAAAAGAGAGTGCAAAAATTTTAATGGGGGAAAAGTTGTTGAGTAACCTGGTAAAGTGTATGGAAAGAGTTATTATTGAAAGAATTAAGAGTAAAAGGGAAAGAAAAAGGATAGAATGAAAAAGGGAAGGTTTTGGGAAAAGGGTTTTGGGGGGTGTGTGGCCCCAGGTGTTTACAGTAAAACATTTTAAGTAAACATATTTAGATAAGGCTAAAGAAGGTTTTTGTGGCATTTTGGTTTTTGGAAAAGGAATAGGGACGGGGTGGAAAAGGGGGGCAATGGGGCGGGGTGTTGGTGTAGGAGGTAGGTTACTGAAAGCAATTTAAAATTTTTTTTCAAGGATATAGGCTAAAAGTTAGAGTATGTAAAAAAAGAGGGAAATTATTTCCCAGAAAAGTAGGCCTTAGACAAGGATGGGGTGTTTGTCACCGTGGTTTTTTTTAATATATTTATAGAGGGGGTTGAAAGGGAGAAGTAAAGGCGAGGGTTTTGGGCAAGAGGCTGTTTTTAAAAAATAAAAAATCCCCACATAAAAGGGGAGTTGTCACAGTTCTCTTTGCTGAGGGAACACTGTGCTCTTGGGAGTTTTCTGAAGAGAAGTTGCAAAATTTTGGTGGATAAATTTGGGGTGGGGTAAAAAAGAAGAAAATTTAAAAGGAATACAGGAAAGAGTAAGGTTATAAAGGTAAAAAAAAGATTGGGTTTGAAAAAAGTTTGGATATCAGATTGGGGGAGAGGGGTATGGGGGGAGGGTAATTGTATTCGATATTTGGGAGGGGGACGGTAGTGGATGGGTCTAGAAAGATGAGGTAAATCATAGAACTGAGGGGGAAAAAAGGGGGGAGTTTTTTTCCCCCCAATTTTGGGGGAGTCTGGGGGAACAAAAAATTGGGGCCGGGGGAAAAAGGGGGGAAAAGGGTATGAGATTTATTTTTTTTTTCCAAAACGCTTTATAGGGGTGTAAGCATGGGTGTAAAATTTTGCGGGGGGGAGGGGGGGAAAGGCTGGGGGCGGGGGGAGGATGTCATTTCTGAGGGTAAGGGGGGGGTTTGTGAATAAAATGAGAAAATTTCGAAAGTTTGGAATTTAGGAGGGGGGTTGGGGGATTCCCAAAAATGTTGCCCAGAGGGCTGGGGAAAGGGGTTGTTGAGGTAGTTGGGACATGTGAGAGAAGGGAAACGAACAGAGTGACTTAAAGGGATTTGAAATCAGTCTGTAGTGGAAGGAAGGGGGGGTGGGGGTGGGCCCTGGAAAGGTTGGAGGGGGGGGGAAAAAGGGGGGGTTTTTTGTGTGCAGGGGCAGGATTTCCCAAAGCAGGCTTTGCTTTGAGCGTTTTTTGGTTTGGAGTGAATGGAGAAAAATTTGGTTTTTTTTTAAAAACTTAAACTTGCTGTTGGAGTGTGAGCAAAGAAACTTTTATAAGGGGTTCAGGGAAACCGGCCCCCCGGGCCCTTGAGTCCGGGAGAGGGAAAATACAGGGGCCTGCCTCTAAAGGGAAAGGGGTTTAATTTTGCGTTTAAAAAACTGAGTGTAAAGCCCCTTTTTTCCCAAAAACAGGGATGGATGAATGATGGTGAAAGTTTTTTTTTTTTGGGGCCACCCTCCCTTGGTGGGAATCAGCCAGTGTTTACCGGGAGTTTAACCTGGAGAGATTTGGGGGTCAACGCCCCCGCGGCCCAGTCTGTGCCCCCGGCCCGGGTGGATCAGCCCCTGATCAACCAGGCTGTTGCTGCTGGCTGCACGCAAACCAACGTACGACCACACCCGGGCTGATCGGGAACTGACTTTATTTTGTTTTTCCCTTGCCAGGGGAAGACTCCCGGGGGTCTGTTGGTAATCCCCCTTATGTTTTGGGGGGGCAGTTGAACAGTCTGGGGCCCCCGAAAATTATTGTAGGCCTCTTAAGGGTGCTAGGGACACCCTGCTTTTCTTTGGGGGGGATGGGCATCGTCTGCCAAGTCTTTTGCTTTGTAGGAGTGATTTTCGTGTGAATTTTTGGTTTACTGGGTCCCTCTAGGATTTTCCAGGGAATAAATCATTATCTCTCCCTCCTGATTCCAGGAATCGGGTTTAAAAAAACCTCAAGCGCCCCCATAATTGGGTTTGTTTTATCTCCGTTATGCGCGCCGGGGAAAGTTCTCTTACATTTTCTAGGTGGGAAATTTTTCCCCTCCCTTGAAAGGGCGGGTAGAGGGCAGCAATTTTTCCCAGCCTAGATAGAACAATGCCCTGAAGAGTTTTCATCTTGGGTTTGGGCCTCCAAATTTTAAAAGGTTTCATTATCCATCCTGTCTTTTTTTCTAGAGTGCGTTTTGAAAAAAAATTTATGGCCCTTAAAGGTGAGATCCTCCGACATAATCACCCCCAGGTCTTTGACTTTGGGTTTTGTTTGCTCTTTTTCTTTGGCCAAAATTTTTTTTGGGGGGTCCGGGGGGGGAATTTTTTTCCCTTTCATTTTTACCATATCTGAGTAATTAAAATTTTCTCATCGTTGAATTTTCATATTTTTTTCCCTGCAGCCCACTGAAAGTTTTGGTTGATGTCCGCCTGGACCTTGCAGTGTCTCAAGGGAAAAAACCCTGTCAGCAATTGGGGGTTTTCATCTGAAAAGGGAAACACGGGGCTGTGGCGGGACATCCTTGTCTATGTCGGTATGAGGAGGGGAAACAAGAGGGAGCTAGAAAATGTGCCTTTTTAAAACAATTTTTCACCGTAGCTACCTGGCCCTTTACTCTGTTGACATTTCTCTCTGTGTTCTGTTAGTGAGGAAAATTTTAGATCCATCGACCGGGCTTTCCTGTTATTTCCCTTTTCGCCATTTTGTGCGCTTTACGCCCTGGTCCACTTGTCGAAGGCTTTGGGCAAAGTCTGAAAATTAATCTGCATTCTTTTTGGCCAGTGCATTTAGGACCTTGTGATGATCCAGTAGGAGACAGAAAAGGGGCGGGCCTGGGTTTTAAAACCCCTGTTGCCCCGGGTTGTGTAAATGATGGGGTTCTAGATGGGGGGGTGATCTTTCTTCTTTGGACCCTTTCAAAGATTTTTATGATAAAGGGATGGGTTTGTGCTATTTTGGGCTGTTTCTTTGCTGTTGCTTTACTGCCCCCCTTTTTGGGGTGGGGCTATTCTGGGTTTTTTTTAGTAACTGAGGGACGACCCCCCCGGGTTTCTCCCTCTCCCCTTGGAAAAGGAAAAGGCTCGTGAAAAACTTCTTTAGTTCTTGATGAAAACAGGCTTTCCCTGATCTGGCCCTGGGGCAGAGTGCAAAGGGCATGTTTATTTATCGCCTTTCGAAAATTTTTATTTGGCGTCGGATAAAAATGGTAGGGTTTTTGTTAAAACAAATTTTGTGGCTCTCTCCTTAAAAAAAAAAAATTTTATTTAAATAAGTTTCTGTGGAAACCCCCGTTTTTCGATTTTTATTTTTTTCCAGAAGTAAGGTTTTTGGTGCCCCGTACTGACCCAATTTGGGTTCCCAAAAAGGAATTTGTGAATTAGATTATCCATTTCAGACCCCCAAACATACACATACAAACGCACTTACATAAATACACTTAAATTTAAATTTGGGCGCAAAGGGGGGCCCCCTTTTTAAAAAAAAAAACCCCTAAAAAAAACCGGGGTCCACTGTACCTAAAAAGTATTTTTTTGGGAAATTTTCTCTATAGTTTTTTTGAACCCGAAAATACAGGTAAAAAAAAAATTTGTAAAATAAAGAAAATTTCAAGACTTTAGAAGAAAAATATTTGAGTAAGTAGCGAATTTTACCAAGGTTTAAAGCTTGTTCCAGGGACTGTGTTTGGGATGACAATACCATTGTTTCCCGGGGCCCCTGTAGGTTTATGATGGGCAAACCCTTTTTCCAGGGGGCTGGTGGTGATGATGACACCATTGTTCCAGGGAATTGTGTAGGTGATGATGAATACCATTGTTTTAAAACCATTGTTTTTTTGGGACCCCGTAGGGGTTTTCAAAAAACCCTTGTTTTTAGGGACCATGGAGGTGAGGCAAAACCATTGTTCCCTGGACTGGGGTATTTTATGATGATACCAAATTTTTCCCGGGACCTGTAGGTGATGAAAAGATACCATTGGGGAAAACCCTATACCTATATCGGCCATTTCAGCACCGGAAAAAAATGTTTATGCCTTTACTCTTTTTTTGGCTATTTCACTTTTCCCCTGGGTTTTCAGAGTGGGCCCCTGATGCTTTTGAAGGGCTCTTTAAAACCAAAAAGTTTGGGGTACCCTCCCCATCCTTGGATCAAACCCGATTACCTTCCTCCAAATGCTTATGACCCTTGTTTGGGGGTTTGTAAAATTTCCCCTGAATTTAATACACAAGGGCTTTTATCATAATATTTGACATTAATTTCAAATCAGATTCTTTTGGGGAAAAAGTTAAGTGACTTCCCAGAGTATATTGTATTAATGTTGTTTTCTTTTTTTGCATTGCTCCCGACTCAAAAGTTAGGTAAGTGCAGTAAATAATGGTCAAGGTTTTTTATGCCAATTTGGGATCAAAAATTTTCTTTATTTAAACATTTTTTTTTAATTAGTACATTTTTCCCTAGCAACTGGCCCAGCGATTTTGTTCCATAATTTTTGAAATTTGTTTTACCCAAAAAGTTTACTGTATAATATTTGATGAGTGGTTTTCCCAGTTTTTCATTCTCGTTTCTTATAACGATCCCAATTTATTTAGGGAGGATCACCTTGATGCTTTTTATGATCTTTTAGTCACCTGTGAATTTGTATACCCCAGTTTGATTGAAAATGAAATGTTACTGCATTTTAATTCTCTGGATTGCTCTCAAAAGGTTTTTCTTCCAACCTTTGGGGCCCTCCCTGGGTGAGGGGTATACGGAGCGAGGCCCTGAGTGGGGCTCCTCGAAAATAAGGTGCGGAGGGAAAATGAATGAAGGGAGTGAAGAAGGTTGTGCGTACCGGGGGGGACCTTTTTGGCTCTTCACAAGGTTGGGGGCGTACCCACCCCAAACCCCCAAAACTCTCGACAATGAAGAATTCAACAGAAAACATGGTATAGAGGCCCCCATGAATGGTTTTTTTTTACTTACTAAACTTAAAAAGGCACAGAATAAAATTTTAAAGAAGATTTTTGCAGGATGCTCAAAAATTTATATATTACTAAATAAAAAACAAAGAAACCGCAATAGCAGCCAAAAAAATTTAATAAAACTTCTGATAAAAAAGCGAACCCCCTTTTTAACTAAACTTCTTTTCATCGTGCAAAAACCACGGGGGAGGGGGAATGATAGCTATCATTCTCCCCCCCGTGGTGTTTTTTATCCTTACAATTGGTTTGTGTTTGTTGCATATTACTTTTTATTACATAAACAAAAATTTTTGTTTTTTAACTAAATTTTTTACAAAACTTTTTTAAATTTTAACTTTTTTTTGCAGAGGGTACCGGGGCACTCGTAAGTTTATCCTCAAGTGTCAGATCAGTGGTGCCTGGCACTTGGAGGATGCTGGTAAGCCGCTGGAAGTGGAAGTTTCAATTGGTAATTTTGGCAACAAGCTGGAGAACACTATGATGCCATCACCGTCCTCCACACATCCCTCCAACCCAGTCTTTGATGGCTGCAAGTGAGTTTTTCTTATTTTCTTGTTATTTAGATCAAGAGAAGTGGAAGGTGGCTCAAAATCCTTGAATAAAGAGCCCTTGACTAGCATCAAGGATCTGCCAGCCCTCTTGACAAGCTGCCAGACCTATGCCGTCCTCTTATGCTATTTTCATTTAATTCGCCCAACATTTCTGCATTGACATATTAATTAGTGTGAGCCATTGTACATATAGGAATTTTCAGAAAATATTCATCTACATTTTCATGAATCTTTCCTCCATAAGTCATGTATGTTGTAAGAGGTGACTAAAATGTAAGGAGCGAGGAGCTAATAATGCCTTCTGCTCTATAAATTATTACATGTAAAAAGAAATAAACTTTATAGCTTTCTTCTTTTTCAGGTCACCTTGCCTCAGTGGGAGACAGCTGGTATGTTAAAAAAAAAGTCATCAATAAATTGTTCATTATTTTCCAGGAGTGTATTTTCATATTGCATTATGATAGTCTTTATAAGAGGATGTCTAATATTGTGGTGGTTCTTTCCTTAACAGATATTATTTCCTGCCATGGTCAGGAGCAGAACCATTTGTGACAGTCCATTGTGACTATGAGGATGTAACCCACCGCCTTCACTGTGTCAACCATATCACTGCCATCATCATGGTTAGTACATCTCTGGGAAATATGGGAAGTTGCCTGGTTATACAACTTGACTTTACAAATAGTGACCAATTAATATAAGGGCAAAAGTGTCATTTTCCTGAGCCTAGGGTGAAAGGGGTCACAAGGCACCACAAAGTTCCATTTTACATATAAAAATAGTTTTAACAGAGTATAAGAAATGTAACATTTTTATTTTGCTATAAATTTATATACATATATAATTTTATTGTTCAGCATTTTGAGTATGTACAGCACCAATATCCATGAATAAATTTTAAATCAAGCAATAACTGTGTCACTGATTGCAAACTGTAAAATGAGAGTCATAGCGACTTTGGCCTATTTCTGTACGTGAAGTTCTTAGATTCAGTATGTTTGATGCAGTGTCATAATTGGAATTATAAGCAAGCTTCCAAATATTTGGTAAAATATAGATTATTAGCAAGTTCTTCAAAGGAACACACAACAAGAACTTGTATACCCTTTCAGAGTGGGTAAAGATGAAGAAGAAATCCTTAATGATTCAAGAAAACTGGTTAGCTGGACTTGAGTTCTGGAGGTGTAAAGTACAGTGCCTGTACCGTGAAATAAATGTAGGGATGTCACAGTTCAGAGGGACATTTGAAGGAATGATGGTGAATATGTTGTCCTGTTTGGGTCACGCTACCTTGGTGAGAAACAGCCAGTATGTTTAAAAATTACAAAAGAAATTTATTCATCAAAGCTGCATAGCAGAGCTTTTAGTGTATTTTTATCATGGTATCCCTAGAGATATTAGCAGTTTGGAGAGTTATGTTGTGTATCTTTATATGTATATGCTTCTAAACTGTTGTGTTTTGAGCACCTCTGCAAAAACAGTGATTATGTGTAAGTGAGGTGAAAGTGTTGAATAATGATGAAAGTATTTTCTTTTTGGGGATTTTCTTTTTGGGTCACCCTGCCTTGGTGGGAAGACGGCCGACTTGTTGAAAAAAAAAAAAAAACCCTTGGCTGACCATCCATCATCATTCCTTACCTGCTGTGATGGGTACTTCACTTTGTGTTGTGTTCCTCTTTAGTTCTTAACAAAGCTCAGAAGTTAGCAAGATGTCTTCTTGCTGAAGGAAGTAATAACTTCTGTGTTTACCTTCAGCTAGACACAAGACACGAACATGTTATCACTTTGTAACACATAAATAAAGGCTTGCATTTTTAAATCTCATTGTTTTATCTATTGTTTTAAAATAACAACGATATTTTTTGCTGTTCATCTCACTCCATACCTGTATATAGCCTCTATGTCCTTGTATTGTTTGTAACGGCATGACAAAGCTCCTGGAGAGCGAAACGTTGCTACAACAAAATGGCACATTAGGTGCACTTGTGTCCTTTTACTTAACATATTGTCAGTAATTTTACCAACATTATTACAGTATTTGTTTTGCTTATGGTCTCTTATTGGTTTCATTGTTTTTCAGACAGTGAAAAAGAACTTACATAGCCTAAAGTCACTTCTGCGAGGACGTCGTTACAAACAAGAGGAAGACAAAGAAGTGGAAGACTGTATACAGACTGCCTTGTCTAACCTGGTATCAGCGTGCAAGTTAGTCACAAATTGTGCTGTTTGTCAATCTTATCTTATTTATCACCTACTGTGTGTGTCTCACATTTCTCTAATCCTCTGTATTGTTGTATTGACATCACATGTGAGTGATGCATCACTTTGTCAGTATCAATCATTTTCTCTGCTGACCAATAGCTTTTATTGAGTCTTTCCTCTCCATTTTTGTTGGATGGAGGCAGTATGTTAATTTCTACATTTTACACTTGTTTTCTACATCTTACGCTTTGCTGTATAATACTGTCCTGGTTATGCCCCTTGAAATCTTACAAGGTGACCTTATAGAGACAGCAAAAGCTGCCCAGCTGCTTTCCACAGATCTTTAAATATCAGTCATGTTAACAAGGGTAAACAAAAGTAGTACATTATGATCCTTAATCAGGAAATGTGATCGGTTTTATCCCTTACATTATTTTTAAATATGTATTAAAAACATTTACAAAAATAGGTACTAGTTTAATTTGTTATTGAATCTCCTTTATTGTTCTTCATGTATATTTTTGTTTTATATCAAAGTGGTAAAATTTGCTATCACTTGTAGCATGGCCTTGCCTGAAGTTGATCCAGTGCGTCATACTGAAACTTCACTTGACCGACACCTGAGGGATCGTCGGCGTCTGGAGTTGGACCAAATGAAGACTACCGTGCTGAAGGTGGACACATCAGATCCTCAACAGGTGGTAGTAGAGCTGGAGTCTGCTCTAGACACACTGGAGGTCTTAGCACAAGAGGTGAGGTTCTCCGTGAAGCTTAACATTTAAATAAAGGAATAAGTGGGATTTGAACCCATGGCAAGAGAATCCTAAACCTCACAGGCCAGTGTGCATTGGCCTGTGAGGTATAGCACTTTCTTGCCATGGGTTCAAGCCCTACCCAGTCTGTGATTTCTTGGCAGTTGTCTTGTTGTATTTTGTGAGTCATGATTCATCATTTTAATTTTGTAGTCTGGTCAGTGGTTTTGTTTATCACAAGAGTCTAATTTTATTAAATGGGTTTCATGTCTTCAGGTAATTTTATTGGAACCATTATTAAAGAGTCAGCTTTAGCCACATTAAAAGATGGATAATTCTCACTCTTCTTTGCTTTCATGACATGTATATTTAATTTTTGCCACTTTGTATACACCTGACTATATTTAGTTTCCATCTTGTAATGTGATAGGGCAGATCCAGAGGCCAGATAAATTTCTATGCTACAGTTAACTCTTGAGGGACACTTGATGGAGGACAATTTAAATTGTAGCACTTTTTGCTACTGTAGCCTTATCTGGTAGGCTCTCCATAGCTTTATTATTATTTTCTGGGTATTCTTCTTGTTTACTTAAACCCCATTGTGGCTTTAACTCTCAAGAATTATATTGTCCTCAATATTATAGCGTACACTTTTACATCTATCTCCATAGGGAAGTGGAACAGAATTCTTCCTCCTTAAGCTATGTGTATTGTAAGAGGCGACTAAACTCCCAGGAGCAAGGAGCTAGTAACCCCTTCTCCTGTATACATTACTAAATTTAAATAGGGAAACCTTTGTTTTTCTTTTAAGGTCACCCTGCCTTGATGGGATATGGCCAGTTTGTTAAGAAAGAAATTGACATCTAGTTCTTAAGTAGTATTTAAGCACTAGTAGTATTAGTTTGCCTAAAATGCACTGCATCCTAGTGGCTTTATTTTGTGCCTGACAGTCTTTTATTACATGCAGATTACGTATTTGAATTTGAATGTATATACGAGTTAGAGGATGTAAAATTTTTGGTAGTGGGCTTTTATATAAAATGATTCAAGATTTAGTTTTCCAAAACCAATGAACTTGTGTATGTTTGTGGTGTTATGACAGCCCCAAAGCAGCATTCCAGACGTTTTCCTGTGGATGATGAGTGGCACAAAACGCCTGGCATATGTCCGCATTCCTGCCCACTCTGTGTTGTTTGCCCATGAGCCCACCTCTCAAGGTACACTGGCTGGCAAGTTCCATACTTACACCCTCAGGAAACCAGGTGGTACAAATTACATTTTATACTATTCTGCCTCTCCACCCTGCACCTTATCAAATTTAAATTTTTATTCACTACTGTATAGCATATACAGTGAAAACCCCAAATTCGAACTTTCTTTGGTCCAGAAGGC